CGAAAGACTTTACATATTTCGGCAATGATGGTCAAAGAGTTGGAATTAATTAAACAGTTCAGAGATATGAGATTAGTTTGCAAGGTGACACCGCAAAGTGTTACGTTAGGGATGTTGAAGATTAATAATGATTTTCTAGATAAATCAGAGAAGCTCAGAAGTTAGATGTGAAATTGGTAGATTTAATGGTTGGGATCGATCAATATGAGAATAGTGATTTCAAGTTAGATGCGCAAGGTCTGTTGAGATTTCATAATCGAATTTGTATTCCTGATTATGCGGAGATGAAGAAAGTGATTCTTGAGGAAAGTCATAGAAGTAGGTTGAGCATTCATCCGGGAGCTACAAAAATGTATCAAGATTTGAAGAATTTGTTCCGGTGGCCTGGAATGAAGAGTGATGTGGATCGGTTTATGTATGCATGTTTAACTTGTCAGAAGTCGAAAGTTGAACATCAGAAGCCCGCAGGGTTGATGCAACCATTAGAAGTTCTAGAATGGAAATAAGATAGCATTTCGATGGAGTTTGTGATAGGGTTACCTAATACTTTAAGAGGACATGATTCAATTTTGATGATTGTTGATAGGCTTACAAAGTCGGCTCATTTTATTCCTATTAAAATTAGTTTTCTAGTGTCGAAGCTGGTAGAGACTTATACTAGTGTAATTGTAAAGCTGCATGGTATTCCTTTGTGTATTATGTCAGATAGAGATCTGAGGTTTACTTCAGATTTTTGGAAGAGTTTGCAAGAAGCGCTGGGTTCTAAGTTAAGGTTGAGTTTAGCGTATCACCCTCAGATGGATGGTTAGATTGAACGGACTATTCAGTCGTTAGAAGATTTGTTGAGAGTGTTTGCTCTTGAACAGAGATGTTTGTGGGACACTTATCTTCCATTAATATAGTTAACTTATAATAACAGTTACCATTATAGTATTGGGATGACACCTTTTGAAGCGTTGTACAGTCAGAGATGTAGAACTCCTTTATGTTGGCATGAATCTGGAGAAAGTGTAGTGCTTGGACCTGGAATTGTTTGAGAGACTACTGAGAAGGTGAAGTTAATTCGAGAAAATATGAAAGCTTCCCAAAGTAGACAGAAGACTTATCATGACAAGCTAAGGAAAGATTTAGAATTTCAAGCAGGTGACCATGTGTTTCTGAGAGTTACACTTGTGACTGGTGTTGGGCGAGCATTGAAGTCTAAAAATCTCACTCCTCATTTTATTGGTTCGTATCAGATTTAGGACAGAGTTGGGAACATTGCTTATAGAGTGGCTTTACCGCCTAATCTTTCGAATTTGCATGATGTGTTTCACGTGTCACAACTCCATAAGTATATTTCAGATCCATCTCATGTGATTCATATGGATGATGTACAAGTAAGGGATAATCTCACTGTGGAGACGATGCCTGTACGAATCGCATATCATGAAATGAAGACTCTAAAAGGCAAATAAATTGCTTTGATGAAAGTAGTCTGGTTAGGAGCTGCCGGAGAAAGCATGACGTGGGAGTTGGAAAGCAAGATGCGGGACTCCTATGCTGAGTTGTTTGAACAAGGTAAATTTTTGAGGACGAAAATATTTTAAGTTAGGGAGAGTTGTAACGCCCGATATTTAATTAATTATTTAACTAATTATTTTCAAATTATTCGTTGAAGTTGTGAGATATTGTGAATTGTTGGCATAAGTTTCTAGATTATTATTAGTGAATTAATAATAATAATAATAATAATAATAATAATAATAATGTTAGGATTAGTAGAATAATAGAATAATTGTGTTGGGACTCTTTTATTGGTTGGAAGTAGTAAAGTGTGGGTGTGTAAGTTAAGCCCAATAGGATTAATGGTATAAGGTTAAGCTGACATAAGGTTAAGCCCAATATGTTAGTGTAGATTATCACCCGTTGATGTGGTCGTTAAGTTGTTGTGTCGTTTCGAGCGGTTGGCTGTAAACTAGGGATTTTGTGTTGATGTGGTCGTTACGTCACTGTGTTATTCCATGTTGTTGCCTGAAAATTAGTGGTCGAGGAGGATACTGAAGGGCTGGGTTAATGTTCGTCACAAAACTGATGACGTATGTGCAAAAGTTTTGAAGACACACGGTGTCAGGGGACACTGGTGCTAGGTGCCGAGCGACATTAGGTTGCAAGGGGTGTCAGGGAATACATGTGTTGGGTGTCGAGCGACATTAGGCTGCAAGGTGTACCGAGGAGCATGGTATTTGTATCGAGTTGCACGAAGCGACAGGTGGTGCCGGGGGGCACATGTTATTTGTTAATTCTTTCTTGGTTCATGTGCATGTCGAGGGGCACATAGTTCTCCCTTATTCCTTATCCACCGTGCATGCTGAGTTGGTTAATTACTTTAGTTTAGCAGTCTCAGTAATTTAGTAGAGTTTTCAGTAACTTTAGGAGGGAAATTTAGTATTTTAGTAGAAAACTTCTTAGTCGGATATAGTCGAATTACTCATATAATTACGCAGGATATCGTAGTATATTTTGGTTGATACATGGTATTGTATGCTTGTTATAAATTGAGCATTGGGAGGTGCTGATGAATTTTGTTGAGATGCCTCTAATTATTGGCAAGTATTAAGTTGTAGGCCTATGGCCAATGTTGAATTATGTTGAGTTGTTGTTGAATTATTGTTATTGTTGTTACTACATTCATACTGTTGTCACATACATAATATATCAAGTTGGAGCTCATGCTTGGTAAGTTGGTATGGATTGGCAAATATAAAGTTAAAGGCTTATGCCTTGTTGATGCCTCTATTAATTGGAAGATTATTAAGTTGGGAGTTTTGCTCCATTGGTACCACTTGCATGTGCATAAAAACAAGTCGCATTTCATGTTGCATTCTGAGTTGTTGTGTGGATGGATTGATGATGTTAAGGTTGTTAAAGAGCTGCGAAGTGGTGATTTTGTATGAATTGTTTCTAATATATCATTTATCATACATTCTATTATATTGTTTGATATCTCACCCCTTTTGTTTGAATGTTACCCATATGTTGGTAACGTGCATGTAATCCAAAGTGAAGGCGGTTTACCTTCAGTAGTTCGAGTCAGTGTTGTTGCTATGATACGTAACACTCGGGGGGATGAATGCTTGTTGATTTATCATTGTTATTACTTCAGCTGTTGAATTTTAAGTTGATTTTCATTAAGTACTTGTTATTTGGAGTTGTTTCAGTTGGATAAAGATGTTACATTCTTTTAAGTCGAATTTTATGATTCCGCTGCATAGTTATGAAAGTTGTTGGTTTTAAAAGATTAATTTATGTTGATGTTCGTTCATCCGAGTTTAAAGTGTTATGTATCTGTGTTAAATGCCGTTATTTTAAGTTGAAATTGTAGCATTCCATTTGTTTGTTGGAAATTTGTAACTCTGATTTTATATAATCTGTTGGGTAGAAATGAGGGTGTTACAAGAGACGAAGGCCTGTAACGTGAGGGGCGTGGATTCGATTCCTACGTCTTACAAAATTATTTTGTTTTTTTCAAACTAACGCGCATGTTAATATTATAATGATTGCTTCCCATTCTCAAACACCAATCAGGGTGTGGGTTCAACACCCACCCCATGCATTCTTTTTTACCCTATTTTCTTTTTAACTCTAATTTTTTCTATTTTCTTTACTAATTATTTTTAATTAAACATTAACTAACCTAATTTTTTCCAACACTTTAACAAATTAGAATTAGGGTTTTTAATTAGTAATTAAATTTTTGTCATATTTTTTTATTTACTAATTAATCAATTAACTAACATTTTTCTCAAATATTAAAATCAATTAGAAACAATTAGGTTTTAATTAATTATTAACACTTAAATTATTTTCTACAAAAACACCAAAACAAAACATTTTTCTAACATTCTTTTTCTCATCTTTTTGCTATTTAATTTTCCTAGAAAATTGTATAGGTCGCACTATCAATGTAATAACATAAATTTCTTTTCTCATTTTTTTTTCTAACTATGTATCTGCTCCAAGGATGTAATAGCGTAGATTTACTTTTTTCGCAAATCTCTATGCTTATGTATTTGTCCCAAAGCCATGTAATAACTTAGGTCTTTACATTTCGCCATTTATTTTTTTATACATATTCAACTGCTAGTAACTAGGGTTTGTATGACAAGACTAAAAACAAACGTAGAAAAACCTAACTTTCAAGATAAATAAATGAAATCAATATAGTCTTCACACTTGCACCTCTAGGGTATCCTCTTTTGTTGCCTTACAATCATTGGTCACGTCCCTCTAAAGTGGGGATACTTTAGCAAAAGAACCTCGAACAAATCATCCTCGTCCCTTCAAATAAAGATCACAGTCCCTCGATGACCCTCCGAGTTGCCTATAAATTGATGATAGTCCCTCCAATAGAAATTGCTGAAGTATCCTTACATGTTGCTTTCGATGATCATACAATGACCATACGCCTGTCCCTTCACATCCAATAGATAAGGTTATTTACCAACTAATGGTATAGACAATACTATCTTTAAAGGAGAATGAAAATAACTAGAAAGACCTTTAATGGGTAAGAACTCCTAATTGCTTGATCACAAACTTTTCTTACAAATAATACATTTTTTACACTACTTTTCAAACAAATATTTTCAAAAACACTTTGTATACATTCTTGAGGACTGATACAAGAATCATTACAAAGTTAGCCTTATATTGACAATTTCAAAATATTTTCAAACAAATCACACATGCACAAAGCAAGTTTTCAAAAGTAAGCTAAACAATTAAGAGCCCGTAGATAACTACGGATGAAAAAGGTTATAACACCTTCCCTTTTCATAGCTTACCCCCCGAACTCAGAATCTATCAAAGGTCTTTCCTGTTCTTTTCATCTTTCCAAAATATTGAATAAAAGAAAAGTTAGTGGTGACTCTTGTTATCCGTACATTTAGATAAAACCAAAAAAATCAGTTCTCCCACCATATTACATGGTGTCTGTGCTCTCTTGGGTATAAACGATCATGTTAAGGAGTAACTGTTTGAGGTAGAAGATGACGTTGATGCCTCTTTAGTTACTTTATAGTTCAGGTCTTTAGTGAAGTCACTCTAATATGTAACCTTGGGGACAAACTGTTCTATTTTTCTTATTAAATGTTTTATGTCATTTTGGAGTTATTAAGCCAACTTTGTTATTCTACAATTGATGAGACCTTTGTGTCAAATTTTTTTTTCATGTTGTGTAATTCGAAATAATATCTTAGATTGGTTATTTTATGATTGTTGAATCACGAGTGATATTCTAATTATTTGAGTTATTTATTGAATCATCTTATTTTAGATCTAGTCCAAAATTAGAGTGTTATAATGAGTTGACCTTGCATGCAAGCAAGGGTAACTTGTATGTAAGACAAACTCCATTATTTACTCTCCATTCTAAGTGTGTGGATAGAGGAAGGAAATGAAGAGAAATATAAAATTCATGAATGAATTTTTTTCTTTAACACAAACTTATATAATTATCCATTACGCCCCTCATTTGAACAAGTAAGATTCCTAATATACCATAGCCTTAAAACCAAAATTACTTATTGACCCTCCGCCAAAAAGTTTATGTGGGAGCACTTCAACTTTTCAACCTTCTTCTTAAAGCAATCATTAGATGGCGATTCACCTAAGAATCAGAAAGACGTTCATATTTTTCATTATACTATAAAGTTCTTTGATAAACGAGATATCACTCAATCATCAATAATCTTTAAAATATTAAAATTTTTTTTTGACTTGTACAAATGAACATACTTTTAAATAACTTAATAATAATATTAATAATATTAACAATATAATAATAATTGTTATAGTTGCGAACTAGATGAAGAATAAAAAGTGTATTGAATTTTGTGAATTTTTTTTTCTTTTTCCATCATATAGTAAAAAGAAAAATTCCATGCAATTAACAAAATGTCTCTTATAAATCAGAAATATATTTTTGGAGTGCACCATGTACCACACACAAACAAATTAAATGTGGTTCTACCTTATTTAAAAGGCAAAAATAAAATCGAAATTATAGTTCTGGTTGCAACCGATATTATATTTTCTGATTTCAACTTACATTTTATCAAATCTTAGTGTGTCCCAAAAATATATTTCCGATCCCAAAAACACTTATATAACTTCACGTGGTACGTTAGAAAACTATAGGATGAAAAAAAATCTAAAAAAAAAAAAGGAGTATATTGGGCCATATGTAGAATCCATACCCATCTTCTTGTTTGGGTACAAAGTAAAAGCCCACAATACATTAGGGATTTGCAATCCAAAGCGGTAACCCTAAAATCCCTTATAAATACCTATCAACCCAATCAAATTCTCATTCTGTTGCATCCACACGCCGTTTTTGCTCACACTGTCGGTGGAGATCCATCTGCCTTCAGTTTCATGTAAGCACCATCCATCTTTTCTTCAATTTCCAATTCTTCTTTCAATTTGAATGAAAAAATAATCAATTTTTTGTTGTTGTTTCAGCTCCGAAAAGATTCAATTTTGTGTGTGGACGGTATTAACAACTAGTCACGATGGTACGTTTTGATCAACAATCCTCAATTGTTTTGTTTGTGAATTGAATCGAATGAGTGTGAATATTCGTTACCTGAATCGGGGTTTTGTTTTTGTGTTTGCAGGTGAAGTTTACAGCTGATGAGTTGCGTCGTATTATGGACTACAAGCACAACATCAGGAACATGTCTGTGATTGCTCATGTTGATCATGGTAATGATTTGCAGATTTTTATTTTTTATTTATCGTTAATTCTATGTGATGCAATTTTCTGATTGTTGTGATGTTTCCACTCGTTCCATGTTTCATATATATATATATATATTTTTTTTTTGATTTGTTGATCCAAAATTTATACATTTTATTTGGTTAATAATATCATAAAAAAGTTATTTTTACTAGATATATAGAAGCTATTTCTGATATTTAGTTCAAATCTTAATACTCCCTAAGGTATTTTCAAATTATAATTAATTGTTGGTTATTCATACAATTAGCTGTTTATTAGAGTGCATTGTTATATCTTATGATGAATAGAACTAATTTGCTTGGCTGAGTTAGGGTTAACAGAATGCATAGTTTTTTATATTGAGTAGAACCAATTTGTTGTTTAGATTTGTTCATGGTTTGGTTATGGACTAACAACTTTGGTATAATAAAGATGATAATAATGTATTCTGTTTTTTCCCCTTTTTGCAGGTAAATCAACTTTGACAGATTCCCTTGTTGCTGCTGCTGGAATTATAGCACAAGAGGTTGCTGGAGATGTCAGGATGACAGATACCCGTGCTGATGAAGCTGAGCGTGGTATCACTATTAAGTCTACTGGTATCTCTCTATACTATGAGATGACTGATGAATCTCTCAAGAGTTTTAAGGGGGAGCGTAATGGGAATGAGTATCTCATTAATCTCATTGATTCTCCTGGGCACGTTGATTTCTCATCTGAGGTTACTGCTGCACTCCGTATTACTGATGGAGCATTAGTGGTGGTGGATTGTGTTGAGGGAGTTTGTGTACAAACTGAAACTGTGCTGCGACAGGCTCTTGGAGAAAGGATTAGGCCTGTTCTTACCGTTAACAAGATGGACAGATGTTTTCTTGAGCTCCAAGTTGACGGAGAGGAGGCTTATCAGACCTTTTCAAGGGTTATTGAGAATGCCAATGTCATTATGGCTACCTATGAAGATCCTCTTCTTGGTGATGTTCAGGTGTATCCTGAGAAAGGAACTGTTGCTTTCTCTGCTGGTCTCCATGGATGGGCTTTTACTTTGACCAACTTTGCTAAGATGTATGCCTCCAAGTTTGGTGTTGATGAATCCAAAATGATGGAAAGACTATGGGGTGAAAATTTCTTTGATCCTGCTACTAAGAAGTGGACCACCAAGAATACCGGTTCAGCCACTTGCAAGCGTGGGTTTGTTCAGTTCTGTTATGAGCCTATCAAGCAGATTATTAACACATGTATGAACGATCAGAAGGATAAGTTGTGGCCTATGCTCACCAAGCTAGGGGTCACCATGAAGTCGGAGGAGAAGGACCTTATGGGTAAGCCATTGATGAAGCGTGTCATGCAGACCTGGCTCCCAGCAAGCACTGCACTACTTGAAATGATGATCTTTCATCTCCCTTCTCCACACACTGCTCAGAGGTATCGTGTTGAGAACTTGTACGAGGGTCCCCTTGATGATCAATATGCTACTGCTATCAGAAATTGTGATCCTGAGGGTCCTCTCATGCTTTATGTGTCCAAGATGATTCCAGCATCTGATAAAGGAAGGTTTTTTGCTTTTGGCCGTGTCTTTGCTGGTAAAGTTTCAACTGGTTTGAAGGTCAGAATTATGGGACCAAATTTTGTACCTGGGGAGAAGAAAGATTTGTATGTGAAGAGTGTTCAGAGAACTGTTATTTGGATGGGAAAGAGACAGGAGACTGTTGAGGATGTGCCTTGTGGTAACACAGTTGCCTTGGTTGGTTTGGATCAATTTATCACCAAGAATGCAACATTGACCAATGAGAAAGAAGTTGATGCACATCCTATTCGTGCTATGAAGTTTTCTGTCTCCCCTGTTGTGCGTGTTGCTGTTCAGTGTAAGGTTGCTTCAGATCTTCCTAAGCTTGTTGAAGGTCTTAAACGTCTTGCTAAGTCGGATCCTATGGTTGTCTGTACCATTGAGGAGTCTGGAGAACACATTGTTGCTGGTGCTGGAGAGCTTCATCTTGAGATCTGTTTGAAGGACTTGCAGGATGATTTCATGGGTGGAGCTGAAATTATCAAATCTGACCCTGTTGTGTCTTTCAGAGAGACTGTTCTTGAGAGGTCATGTCGCACAGTGATGAGTAAGTCACCAAACAAGCATAACCGTTTGTACATGGAAGCTAGACCACTGGAGGATGGGCTAGCAGAGGCCATTGATGATGGCAAAATTGGACCAAGGGATGATCCCAAGATTCGTTCTAAAATCTTGTCAGAAGAGTATGGCTGGGATAAGGATCTTGCTAAGAAAATCTGGTGTTTTGGACCTGAGACCACTGGACCCAACATGGTGGTTGATATGTGTAAGGGAGTTCAGTACTTGAATGAAATCAAGGATTCTGTGGTTGCAGGTTTCCAATGGGCATCAAAGGAAGGTGCTTTGTCAGAAGAAAACATGAGAGGCATCTGCTTTGAAGTTTGTGATGTTGTGTTGCACACTGATGCTATCCACAGAGGTGGTGGTCAGGTTATTCCTACTGCTAGGAGGGTCATATATGCTTCACAGATAACAGCCAAGCCCAGACTTCTTGAGCCTGTTTACATGGTTGAAATTCAAGCTCCTGAGCAAGCTCTTGGTGGTATATACAGTGTTCTTAATCAGAAACGTGGGCATGTGTTTGAAGAAATGCAGAGGCCTGGTACTCCACTTTACAATATCAAAGCATACCTTCCAGTTATTGAGTCCTTTGGATTCTCCAGCCAGTTGAGGGCGGCAACATCCGGTCAGGCTTTCCCCCAGTGTGTGTTTGATCACTGGGACATGATGTCCTCAGATCCATTGGAAGCTGGATCCCAAGCCGCAGTACTGGTTACTGATATTCGTAAGAGGAAGGGTTTGAAGGAGCAGATGACACCACTCTCTGATTTTGAAGACAAGATTTAAGTTAAAGCTGTTTTATTTTTGTCATGAATTTAATCTCTTTATAATACCCTGTTACCTTAGTTTTTGTAGTTCAGTATCCTGAGTTTTGTTTCTGGCTTTGCCAGTGAATTGTGCTATGTATCTCGGAATATTATGTTTGCGTTGTATTTTTGGTTGTCTGTCTTATTATGCAAATTTTGTTTTAAAACTTCTTTTCTTTACATTCTGTTGCTGAAAATGATCAAATCTAATTGGGTCTATTGAATAATAATTATACCATCACTTTGGTAATTATCAAAGCTAATGACAGTGCTAATGTGCAGTGATTTCCCTGATTAGTTTAGTTTCTTATGCTGAAATGTTCAAAGAATCCTGTTTTAATCTGACCCTAGTTTTTGTTTTTCGTAATTGACTGTTGAGTTAAAATTGTTGGTTGTCTCATCGTTTGATTTTCTGTGGTAAGAGTAAAATTGTGCAAACTTGATAAAGAACAACAGTTTTGAATTTTGGCTTATCGTAGAAGAAATTCACCACTTTTTTACTTTGCTGGGGTTGTCCTATTCCAACCATCACTAGCGACGCTGCCTTTTTTTTTATATTTGATTTTTTTTCTATTTGATTTTTCTTTGTACATAGGTTGGGTAGTGCTTGAGGTGTGTGCTTTTCTCTATCAATTATTATTACATTTTGATGCGGTTTGACTAGGTCATGTATTTGAGCTCCAATGTAGTAAATGTATTTTTTTTAATCTACTTAGGGTGGTGAAGGGAGTTTCTTTTTTGCACCTCATTTGCATTAAAATAGAGTTTCATGTGAAAGGCATTCGACACAAACAATTTGAAATCAATTTACTTTGTTTTATTCTAAAATTTCTAAACAATTAAATAATATCTTTGTTCCATTTCTATTTATAAGATATTCAAGTCACTATATTCCTATTTAATGTGAGATTATTTCTCTACTTAATCACTTCATTATTATTCATACACTTCCATTAAATAGTTCATGAGGAGGAACATATCACATTAGACTAAGAATAACACACGAGTGAAAGAAACACTTCATAATGATCCAGACAAATGAAGTCTCTCTCACAAAAGTGTATGACCCAAAATCTTAAGAGGGGTGTTTAATCTTATACTATGTGTTAATGTTCCTTAATAAACTCCTCCAACACATTCCACTTCATTCTATTATATTCATTTCACGATATCTAAACATAATCTTAAGCTTTATTAAATCTCTCTCTCTTTTTTGATCAGTGCAACAAAGTCAATTTCTAAAAAAAAAAAATTATTATCCTAACACGAATATGCGTCTTCTTAATGTGACTCACATCTTTCGTGGTTTGTATTAGATGACAAATTATCATCAGTTATTATGTGGTTAGAGTTTTTTATTTTATTTTTTATCATAGGAATCAAGGTGTATTTATTATACACTTGATTTCAATCCATTCTAGATGGGAGCAATATCAATTTAGAACAACAAGGGAGATTCAATATAACTTTCTTGTGTCTACATGTAAATGATATCAAATCATGGTTAGTTGTAATTCAGATCTGCAATGTTAAGTACTTGTTGTTTGTTAGTTGAGTAACTTAGTTTAACTAAATACTCCTATTTTTATTGGTTTACTAGTCAAACTAGTTTATTAAATGCACACTTACCTATACGAGGTGGTATATACTTGTAATAGATACATATTCTTTTAACCATAATTCCTTATAACTTTCTCTGTTTCCTTTTAGATTAGTTAATTCATTAGGAAGTAACGTCGAAAACCTACTAAAATTTATAGAGAATTTCAATCAATTTTAATGAACAAGATTGTTATCACTACACAATTATAATGAAAAGAAAATAATTGGGAAAGGAAGAATTTTTTTTTTGCAGAGTAACTCTTTGTCCACAATCTGTAAAATTTTTTTATTCATTTGCAACTACAAATTCTATGAATACTTAATCGGAGTTGTTACAAAAAATAAGAGTTACTCTATTTATAATTGAGCTAACTTGCTCTCTAACCTAAAGTCTAAAATCATAAAAACTCAAAACTATAAAAGTCTATAATACCTATTTTAGACCTAAGTCGAACTACTGTATAAAACAACCTACTTCGACACTACAATACACAAAACTCGACATACATATTTTAATACACTAACTTGACACACACCCTTTAGGTTATGTCTGACACACATTATGTCGAGCAACACGCCGCTTTCGACACAAGGAATTGCAATCTCAACAAGTAAGTGTGATAATTAACAATATTATATACTACTTGAAGATGTGGTTGTCTATGAGATGAGACAACTTACCTGTCATATGAGTAAATTTCAAGTATGAATATTTATTATGTTTTATTTATTTAGTTCTTATTTATCAAAGACATTTTGAATATGTAATTTCTTCTTTTTGTGTAGTGTTAGATATACGAGTATTTCATGCCTTTTGCGACAGATGTGTTAGTGATTCTATCCTTGATGACCCCACAAACCACTCGATGTAGGACCAAACATTCATATATAGAAGGCCTTCAGAAGTACAAGTGGAGGATCACTGATTGTAGACGATGTCATATAGACACCATACGTAGACCATAAAATGCATCAAGATTTTGATGACACTGTCCTATTTTTGAGTTATATGCGATGAGAGAGTTTAATAGCTAGATATTTACCTGAGAAGTATTTGCATAAGTTTGGGTATGTTCAGGGCATTCCTTGATTAGTCCCTGTTGAGCTATTTGGGGGTGTTTATAGATGGTTTATGTATAACATTGTTAATAGTGCCATTGTTATTAAAGATAATGTAGTAGAGGTGCAGTTCGCTAGACATTGTCTGAATGGTTACTCAGAGTCGTATTTTACAGTATCACACCATCACACCATTCCACATGCTCAGCCTGCAAATGATGTCGGACCTTCCCATGATGGAGGACCTTCAGATGACGTGTCACCGCCTCCACTGCCTCTACCTAATATGACTGGCCAACAACGATCGTAGAGAATAACACTTCTTTAAGATAATTTCATGAGTTTGACAAACTCAGATGGTGAGATCTATACCAGGTTGTCTCAGATAACACATATTGCTTGTGGTGAATATATGTAGATTTTATTAGTTTGTTTATTTTTTAATTTTGATGACATTATTTGTATATCATTGACATTTCATCTTAACATTTCATTAAATGAAAATTAACATTCCATTATTGCATTATGAATATAACTTAACACGAACATGACTTAACATAACTTAACAAGAGAATAACATGAACACAAATTAAATATTACTAGATGATTTATGACGTTTTAACATTTTGATAAAATCGTTGATAAATCTCACAATTGCCGTATCCACCTCAAGCAGACTCTTTATTTCGTATCGGTGATATGTGCTTCATATACTTTTAAATTTTCACCCGTCTTCAGCTCAAACTTACTAAACCTAATCTCACTACTACAAAAAAACCCCTTTTATATGCGAGGTAACGAAGGGCGTCATAAAAATTGCCACTTTTTCCCTCGGGTAAAGTTCCACCGAGGGAAAAGTGTACAAGTCATGGGTTCGATCCCAGCAACAACATATTTTGGATTTTTAAAAGGGTTAAGTATGTTTGTGGTCCTCCTAAATATCTCATATTTCACTTTTAGTCCCTCTAAAAATTTCCTTCAAAGAATGGTTCTTCTAAAAAATTTTATCAACATTTTTAGTCTCTCATGCAACTTAGCGATGATTTTTACAACTTAGCGACATAATTAGTGACGCTTTTAGAGATGATTTACTACTTAGCGACTAAATTAACGATAATTTTAGCAAGAGGGACTAAGAGTCTGGGTGAAAATTTTTAGGAGGACCATTCTTTAAAGGGAATTTTAGGAGAGACTAAAAGTGAAATATGAGATATTTAGGAGGACCACAAATATATTTAATCCTTTTTAAAACTGCGCTAATTTTTACCTCGGTTGAAAATAATATCCAAGATAGAATAACTTGTTTAAATAATTTTTGTTTTAATCAATTTTTTTCGTTTTAATCTGCAAAACATCAAATTTGTTGACAAATTTTGAATCTTTCTCCTCCTCCTCATCATCAACAACAACGACTAAAATAAATATAATTGTTGAATATTAAATATCAACAACAACATGATCCACAAAATCTTTAAACATTAAATTTCAAAAATATCAACTACAACAAATAAACAAAATCAATAGAATCATTAAATATTTAATCTCAACTACAATAACATTAAACATTTTACTTGACACAATAACAACAACTAACATTACTAAGTTACATCCATGCTTTCCTAACTAACATTAAATATTTTTAACAAATAATTATATATAAGATAAGATATTACATTAAGCAACTAACCATGAAACTTTTCCTACTATTGCAATCAATTCTAGATAATAGTGTTGTATTTCATTTTGCTGCATTCATTATCATTATTTTTATTAGGTTAAGTTTGCATTTCAATACTTTGCATCCAGGATGGACCGTTAAGGCATTTACATTCTGATTCTTGGTGAGAGTTTCACGCGGATCACTGATGTTTCATGTGGATTGATGAGTTGACAATATCTTGACAGTTGTTATTATATAAATGGATGACAAAGATTCATTACTTATTTTTTTTGTCAAATTAGATAAAAGTTTTTTCCTCGGTGGCTAGCTCAATCGAGGTAATAGGTCATAAACAAAAAAATAAAAAATAAATAAAAAAAATGCTAAAATGTAGTTGCTGGGATTCGAAAGGGGTGCCCCCAAAATACTTTACCCCTTGATTGCCAGCTCAACCGAAGTAATATGTCATAAACAAAAATATAAAAAAAATTAAAAAATGCAAAGATGCAGTTGTTGAGATTCGAAGGAGTGTCCCTAGAATACTTTACCCCTCAGTTTCCAGTTCAACCGATGTAATAGGTTGTATTTAGAAAAATAAAATAAAATATGGTGCGCCTTTGGTTTACACCTTAGTTGTTCGTTGGCTGATGTGAAAGATTTTTCATAGAATATATTATTTGTAGTAGTGTCTTCATTTCATTATCGATTAATGGTGAATGATACTCAATTTTAACCACCTTTCTATTATCAGTATGATGCAAGACATTATCCAGTTTGGATTTTAGAACATCAAGAGGGATGTCCTATGCGAGCCTAAAATCTACAGGAGATTTCACGTCATTGAAGCACACAAATGCGATATAACAATATTGATATATTTTGAGATGTTTTTTAACAACACATGATGCATATTTATACAAATTTGGAATCATTATGGACCATACAAAATTGTCGGTGAAATCACAATCTAACAAAAGTGTCGGCAAAATCTCAATCTTTGAAAAGTAACATTATAAAATTTTTCGGGGTTATGAGAAAAATCAAGTAATCTCTGGTAAATTTTGCCATGCGTCGGATTTTTTAAAAAACCGGTAAAAATCCTTACCAAAAGTTTTTATTGGCCAATCGCATTTTTTAATTGCATGCAAATATTTTTATTAACATATTGAATTTTTCGCATGAGATTGTTAATAAAATAAATGAAAATAATATTTTTGATATTAGAAAAAATTGAAAGTGTCATGTGAAACAAAATAGGTGGCACTACAAATTCTCCTATTTTTTATTGAAGTTTTATTTAAATTTGAGCTTGAATCAATAGTTGGGTACACAATAAGCTATAGTTTGCCATCCCCCAAATTTTACTTGACTCCTCCACATCCCCTATATTTTTACCATATTAGCCTTGGACAATGTTTTATCTCATTTAACAAAAAGTATTTGAGAAATTTAAATTTTTAGAAAAACTTTATAATTTTCTGGATTTTTCGCAGACTATATTTGTTGTTGAAGACAAGTATGATTTTTTTACTACATTTTAAAATATTTTTCTGGATTTTTCATGATGTTTTACTGCATATTTGCAAAAATCCGGTAAAAATTCATACGTTAAACCAGATTTTTTAAAAGATACAATAAAAATGCATAATTTTTTCCGTTTTTTTTTGAAAAATGTGGTAAATTGCATAAATGTTTCTGGGTTTGTCAAAAAATCTGATAAAAATACATGCGTTCAACCTAAAATTTCAAAAAATCCAGAAAAAGGTAGGCATTTTTATTGTTCTTTTTTGAAATATACCGTATGGTATGTTTTTTTACCGCATATTTTGAAAAATCCAGAAAGTTCATAATTTCTAGATTTTTTGAAAAATATGACAGGTTAAAAAAATTTGTTTTATTTTTTTCAATGAAGACCATGGATAAAGATGGAACGATTGTTGGTCGACAACGTGATAGAGCTGCTACTGCGAGGGCTCGAGAGAGGGGATATGACATATATGATTTGAATATCCGAGCAGGGAGAGTGGCACCAACTAATTCTCATAGGAGGCAGATGGTCAAACAGACTCAATTTTATGCACCCCGCACTATCCGACGCATAAGATCTAGATCTGCTTCTGGATGGACGAGAGATGATGAGGATGAGCCTAGTGATGTTTAGGCATCGATTTAGGATGACGTGTAGGTGGTGGTAGGCAGAGACAGATGTGCCCCATCCGGCAGAGACAGATGTTCCCCTTACTTCTAAGATGGCAGTGGTGCATCATCCTTCTAAGGCAGATGCAACAACTACTATAAAGGTTACTTCGAAGAAAATTATTGAGGCGCGTACTCCGTGTACGACTACTGAGGCGCTAACTACTTATGATATAGAGGTTACTCCTCCTGTCGAAACAAATGTCACTACTCCTTCTTTGAAAGACCCGACTGTACACACATATGAAAGGTTTCATGGCGGGCCCATTGACATTTATCTTCTCATACGATATGCAGATCACGTGGCATTTAGATTATGGAAGAAAGAGGTATGTATATGATATGCCAATATGTGACTTTATTTATTAATGATAATTTGAAATTAACTAATCATTTTTACTTTATTTGTTACAGTATTGCATCCTGCTTAAGGTGCCCACCCATAGGTTGAAGCTGAAGAAGTTCTCTGATATCGTGATGCCACTGAAGGTGAAGACAATAGTTGAGGAGTGCGTTCTCCTTCCACTGGTGGATTGTTCTCTTACCATGATCGACGACCAGCTATTGAAAAACTTTGTTTAGATATGGCACAAGGAGCCATCTTCTTTCCATCTTCCATTTGGCGAGATGATGATTATATTGGATGAAGTCTCCTTGCTTTTTCCATATTCTACTGGCATGTAGTTTTTTCACTGCTCCTATCATTAGTCAGGAGACCACACATATGAAAATTGTAAAATACTTTGGCGTTACTGAGGAGCAGGTGAAAGAGAAGTTTAGGTATATGAGATTATGATGGATGCTCACTTTTTCATATCTTGGCTGCAAGATAGGTATGGCGAGCTAGTGCAAAGAGGTGTGTATGAGGTAGCCGCTATGGTATACATGCTACATCTTGTAGGATGTACTATCTTAGTAGATAAGTATCATGTATACATCGATGCGAAGTACATGTGGCTAATTAACAAACTTGAGCATTGCACTTGGGCATGCATGTGTGCAACATTGAGTGTTCTATATGCTGCCCTTGGAGAGACGAATATTTTTGAGACCAAGCATCTTGCCGGTTATATGAGTCTATTTCACGTATTAACTAAATTATTATGTTAGTTATATTTATGAAGTTATTTCTTCCTATCACGAGTCTTTGTTATTGTGCATGCTGGATATACGAGCATTTCCTGTTCATTTGTGACAAGCAGGTTATTGCTACCACTATTGGGTCCCTACAAGCCAAGAGATGGAGAGGCAAACATACATACCCAGGAGGTGTTGTGGAGTACCCGAGAAAGATTGATGCGCTGATCATATACGACATCATCTGGACCCCCTACACATGCCATATAGTGGATGAGGAGTTTGATGATGCTACATTTTTTTCTGGTTATCTGCGATGGGAATGGTTAGTGGCTAGAAGCTTGCTTGAGAGGTGCATGCAACAGTTTGGATATGTCTAGGACATACCACGACCAGTCCATACTATTCCATATGAGGGAATTGATAGCTGGTTTAATGGTAACATTATGAGGTATGCATGTGCCATTAAAGATCATGCAATGGAGGTTCAATTCCCCGCAAAATGTGTGAAGGGATATTTAGATTGATACCTTACTATATCACACCCTCACATCATCCCACATAGGCAACATGAAGATGATACTAGACCTTCTCATGTTAGATCTTCATAGGATGGATCTTCTCCTGCTGATGTTGGGGTACCTTTTGATGACGTGTTGCCGCCTCCACACGGTGCAGATGACGCTTAACACTTGTAAATGAAATCAATCATTATGGATAACCTCATGAGTTTTGTGAACCCATATGTCGAGGTTTTTAGTTTGACATCACATACAACATACATAGCCCGTGGGGACCTATTTAGACATTATTATTATTTTTATGTATTTTTTGTATACTATTTGTATTATTACTCAAACATTTACAAAACACTATTTATTATATAACATTTTGACACTTCTATTGATGCATGATGAGCATAACTTAACATTTGACAAATAGTTACTTAACTTAGACAGACGATTACATAACTTAAGAAAATAATAATAAATAAGAAAACCTAAACGCTACCAGATGATTCTAGAAGTTTCAAAATTTTGATTATGTTGTCAATAAATATAGAAATTGTCACATCAAACTCGACCACTCCATTTGTTAGTATGATCTCCACATAACTTTCAAATCTTCATCGGTCTTCAACTCAATAAGGCTGTATTTCACCCTTCCATCAGTATCGATTAAGTCTTCACGAAACTTGATATAACTCACCTTTTTATTATTGGTTTCGAGAAACAAATCATTCAACGTGGATCTCAAGATGGTGAAACATGCGGTGTCATTCGGAAGCTGGAATTCTACTAGAGGTTTCAGCCTGTTGAAGTACACTTTTGCCTTAAACCAAAACTGAGGAAGAGACATTGTAAGATATTATTCTTAACAACACATGACCCTTATTTATACAACTTTGGATTCATTCTGAACCATACAAAATGGTCGATGCAATCATAACCATATAAAAGTGTCAGCAAAATCCAAGACTTTCAATTTTAACTCTTTTATAATCACCAAAAATTTCACTCATAGATGAAATATCCGATAACTTCTAGATTTTATCAAAAAACCGATACTAAGAAAACATTCCAGATATTTTGAAAAATCTGGTAAATCAGATTTTTCATATATACTATCCGATTTTTTGCTATGTACCAGATTTTATAGATTGGTCTACTAGATATTTTGTCTAAATTTTTACAAGAGCAACATGAATATTGTTGAAATTTGAGGGGTGCTAGGTATAATCGGGGTGAAAGAAAGAAACCTCTAAAAGGACCCATTATTATATTTAATACATGCAAATGTATTGAGGTTTATGGAATACCTTCATTCGCTTGAGGGTTAAAAAATAATGGCAAAATACCCTTTTTAGTCCCTTAACTTTATTTCAGAGTTCAATCTGGTCCCTTAAATTTTAAAATGTCTGAATTAATCCTTTAACTCTTAAAACAATACCATATGCGTCACGTCTGTCTATTTTCATCAAACAATGTTAATATTTGTACTCGTGGCAGCTGAGTTGGCAAAGTACATTCTTCTCTGGTTTTCACATTCTTCTTCATTCCCATTCTTTAATTTCTTCTCAAATTGAATTAGGGCTTAGGGTTTTTTCCAATTCCATCTTAAAGATTAAGGTTCTTTCCAATTCTGTTGTACCCCAAAATTTTCCCTCTCACTTATCAAGACTTTTCTCACAAAAATCTCTCTTAGTTCAAGATTGCACTAGGGTTGATCAACTCAAGACACCTCCTTAAACACCGATGACCGAAATTAGGGTTTGAGATTGCACAAGGATATTTGAACTTTCAATGCTTAGTATCACTTTCATGGATCATTACGGACCCCCAAGATTACTCATGTAAAGTTTAAAGCCTTGGATCACACTTTTGCTCAGTCAATTGAGCAGTTGGCCTAAAAATCATCTGTATTGGGGAAAAAGTCAACTATGGCCAATTTATAGTCAAACTTTAAAATTTTTGATCCACATCAACATTATAAACTCATATGTATCATTTATTTAAGTTTGGACCATAATTTCTCAAGAATTTTGATCAAATCATCAAAAGGGCAAAATGGTCAAAATTAAGGTTTTGACTGAGAAAGGGCAATTTCTGATTTTGACCTAGCAAATGATCAATTGGTTTGAAGCATGATCTCAATATTTCAATTGCATCATTTTGACCTAATGACATGACCTAAAACATTGTTCAAGATCAATTGGATTGACAGTGAATTTTCAGTCAACTGATCAAAAGTCAACTGTACACTGAAAAGTCAAACTTTGAATTTTTGGTCAAAATTCAATGTCAAAGATCACAATTCATCAAAATATGTCAAAATATGAAACTTATTCATCAAGAAATAAAAAAGTCAAGATTTCATTTTGAAAAGTCAAAGTTTTCTAAATTAGAAATTTTTCGAAGTTAGAAATTTTTCGAAGTGTTTAAAACTTCATATTTTTCATAACTTTGAGCCAATTTTTCACCATGGTGAAAGAGGATTCAAAAGAAACTTTAAACATGAAAGTTGTAGATATCCATTATATCTACGACATTTCTTTACACAACTTCTTCAAAAAATGCTTGTATATCAAGTTATTAATTCATAAAGTCATGGCCTTGAAATTGAACACTTAGTGAAATTTTGCCCTAGTTTTGGTGAGGATTTTGACCTAACTTCATGGCACTTTTTCATATAGTTCCAAGGGGAATTTTAAAAAGTGATTCAAAGAGGGGTTGTAGAGCTTATTACAAGCTTTCTAAAATTTCCAAGAAATCCTTGAGATCATTCTTTAGTAGGGAGAATCGAAGAGATGGAGTTAGGGTTTTCACACTTGAAATACAAGTCATTTTGTGATGAACAAGATTCAAATTTCAAACCTATGCTGCATAATATCTACTTTACAGGACTCAAACTTTTTAGGCACTCCATAATTAATTGCTTGCACAGCTGTTAGAGGTCTCAATTCAAGCATTCAATGTAAAGTCATGCTTTATATCCATTTTAGGAAGAAAGTGCACCATGCCATTTTGATAAAGTAGCTTTTTGCACAAAATTTGTTCTTGAGCCTTGCAATTGTTTTATTCTGATCATACATGTCCTATAACTCAAGAGAAGTTTGTCTAAACACTTATAATCACTCAGCCCTTGCTTGTACTTCCTCTTGGAACCATACTTCCCACTTTTCTTTAAAATCAAGTAACGTAGCAATCAACCCATGTCTTGTACTTCTGACCCTCTCAAGCAGAAAAACCCTTCTTATTACTTATGTACAAGTCATTTGCCACAAATCACACGCATGCTTGAGCCCTGAAAATAGCAAGAACTCATATTTGCATCTCACACCTCCATTGTTGCATATTCTGGCCAAAAATCCCAAAACCAAAAACTACT